GCGTTTAAAAAAAATTTTTAAATTTATATTACTTTAGTAAAAAAATATGTTTTTTATTATAAATTTTTATCAAAAATAAGAGCCTAACGGCGTAACATATTGATGACGCGCATGTTTTCTGTAAAAATGTAAATAAAATGTAATAGTTTAGTTTTTATAATAAAAGTTAGCAATGATAAAGTTTATTTTTTATATTTAATATGTAAATACTGCAAACTTTTGCTTTCCATTAACGTGTTGCATGGAATTGCTGAGTAGCGTTTTTAAATTACTGCGTTAAAAAACTGCGTGGATTTTTTAAACTCTCGAAGTTCCTTTGTGGTAAAAAAAAATTATTTAACGTTATTATTTAAAAACGTTAAAGTATTACGAGGCAGTAATATTTTAACGTTATAACTTTACTGCGCTCGTTTTTGTTTAAATAAATTTTTAGTTTTCAATTTATACCGTTTATTTTTTCAATGTTTTCAAGGTGCACAAAAATATTACCTTTAATGATGTCTGGAAATTTAACAAAAAAAGGTTTTCTGAAGATTCAAATATGAAAAGCAGTATAAAAAATTTGTTATTGATGACAATAAGTTGGTGTATTGCAAAAAAAAAATTGTTGGCAAGGTGAGGAAAGTTTATGTTATGGAAAGATGTTGGGATTCGTTTATTGTATAATAACACAAATATTATTTTTAAATTAGCAAATTGAAAAGTTAATAGCTTCAAAACAACTTGTAAAAATTTAATACAAACAAACTTGTTTGTTGTTGTGGTAACAAATCAGGAAGTGCAATTAAACATAAGTAAAAAAGTCAATGAAGGTCTTGGACAAACATAAGTAAAAAATGAAGGTCTTGGATAAACTTAAGTAAAAAAATGAAGGTCTTGAATAAACTTAAGTAAAAAAATGAAGGTCTTGGATAAACTTAAGTAAAAAAATGAAGGTCTTGGATAAACTTAAGTAAAAAAATGAAGGTCTTGGATAAACTTAAGTAAAAAAATGAAGGTCTTGGATAAACTTAAGTAAAAAAATGAACTTCTTGGAACTTCTGAGTAAGATTAATCCAATTATGAAAAATCTTATGAAAAATTTTATATTTCAAAATGCTTTCTGAGAAAGTTTTTGCATTATTGCAAAATCTTTCTCAGAAGTTCCAAGACCTTCCTCTTAGGTATTAATACTGTGAGAAAGCCAATTTTTAAAAGATTATTTTGTCATTCGAAGTATATCCTCAACTATGTTACTCAATTCAATGTAAATGATGAAAAAGTATCTCTAACAGAAACCTTTAAATTGTCTCCTGCTTTTAAATCTGGTAAAGTGGAAAAATATGTAATAAAGCAAGTTGATGGAAATTTATTTAAAATTACCTGAATCAAATGAACACAATTATATTACTGTTCCTACTGATTATTTCTCTGAGTAGACTGAAGCTGAACAGCTTATCTACAAAGCAGTAGTATCAGTAGCAGTCTTTCTCTATAGAGTTATTTACAGGCACAGTTATTTTCAAATACAAATCAATGACAAAGGATTTATTTTTGCTCTAAATGTGAAAGTGCATGCTTCAATGAGATCCCAGCCAACATTGCCAGACGGGTACCGTACGGTTTTTGTCTGGGCTTACAGGAACGGGATTTTGACGGGTACCGTAAACGGGGGTGAATATGAACAGCGGGGTGAAAATGAACACTAGTACTAGCTTAACTTAAGGGTGAAGCAGCACATAAAATATAGCTAAAAATTGAAATTTTTTGACTCACTTGCTTTAAATATAATGTGTGGAAGATAATTTTCGGCTGCCCTCAAAATTTTCTTTTCCCGCCTTTTCTCTATCGCATATAAACAGTACAAGCTACGTGGTTCGTGTTATTAACCCACCTATCAAGGAGTATCTTAAGAACCGCTCATCTAAACGTCATCAAAGTTACCTAAATTTAGGTTCAGGTAAATAATGTTCTAATAAAACAATAATTTAATGTATAACTTGTCTGTATCCGATTATAAGCTCATTTGAAAATGACATTTTTTTAACACGATTTTTTATTATATTTTGTTAATTTTTAGAACTATGCCTCGAAATTACAAGAGAAAGGAAAACAGTAGAGCTTATAAAACAAGTTACACAAAAAAGACTTAGAAATAGCTTTAATTAAAATCAAAAACCATGGATTTAGCTTCAGGAAAGCTTCAAAAAAGTACAATATTCCATTAGAAACATTACACAAAAAAGTTAAGCTTGGGGATCAAGTTCCGAAAAAAAACGGCGGACAAACCAGACTTGATAGTATAACAGAAAATTTATTTGTCCAAACAATTGTACATATGACTGATTGGAAGGTACCATTTGATTCTTTGGATAAAAGACTTTTAGTCAAATCATATTGTGATAAAATGAGTATAACTGACAATCGATTCAAAAACAATATGCCTGGGGTAGATTGGGTTCAGTCTTTCATGAAGAGACATAACTTAACAAACAGGGTTGCTGATAATGTTAAGCACAGTAGAGCCATGGTCAATGAAGATACCCTTAACAAATATTTTGATAATTTGTATAAAGAGTTGAAGGATATACCTCCAGAAAGTATCTATAACTATGATGAGACCAATATAACAGACAATCCAAGGTCCAAATCCGTTATTGTTCGTCGTGGCCTTGGGCACCGTGTCGAAAAAAAACAAAAACATTCGAAGCAGTCGACCAGTTTAATGTTTTCTGGCAATGCTGTTGGAGAGTTTTTGCCGCCCATGGTAGTTTACAAAGCAAAGAACCTTTACCAGGGTTGGACTCAAGGTGGACCACCTAGAACTATTTACGACATCACCCCTAACGGGTGGTTTGATGGTAGGACGTTTACCAGATGGTTTATGGAAATATATTTGCCTGTTGCTATTTCAAAAGCCGGAACAACACTATTGATTGGAGATAATCTTGGTTCACATTTTTCTCCTGAAGTTATTAAAGCCACGATTCAACATAACATCAAGTTTAAAACAATGCCTCCAAATGCGACTCATCTCTGCCAACCATTAGATGTTGCTGTTTTTAGAGGATTAAAGCAGTCGTGGAGGAGTATTCTTTTGAAGTGGAGATCAGAAAGTCGTATCAAAGGAGCTATCCCAAAAGAACATTTACCTACGCTTTTAAATAAACTAAATAATACTTTGCGACCAGTAGCTTTGGTTAGCGGATTTAAAGCAACGGGAATCTACCCTGTGGACAAAACAGAGGTTATTAAACGTCTTCCAGGAAAATATGAAGACCCTGGTGGTAATGACACCGTTATGGTTTTTAACGAATCTGTTTTAGATATTCTAAAAAACAATCTAGGGTTAGGCACAAATCCAACTACAAAACGCAAACCTCGTGGTCCAAAGGTGGTACCAGGTAAAAGAAATCATTCTTTAGTTGAGTCAATTCCATCAAGTTCAACAGAGCTAAAAAGCAACACAGATAATGATTGGTACTGTACTTTCTGTAACCAAAAATGGGTAGAGTTAAGCGACGACGTGTGGGTTCAATGCGACAAATGACCATATCACCTCCAGTGTTGTGGCCTCATTTATGATAAAGATGATTATTATGAGCTCAATATTGAAAATATTTTATACTTTGTATGCAGCATGTGTGAGTCATTTGAAGAAATTTGAGGATAGTGATATTTAATGTTCTGTTTTTATGTGGAACAGATTTGTAAATATTGTGATACATGTTATAACATGTTATTAACGTTAATATATTGAAAAAACTAGTTTTTAAACATAGTATGCTAATTTTTCACATGAACTTAGTTTAAATAAAAATATGTTCCATGTAAAACAAACTTCATGTTATCTGTTCAGGAAGCTGAGTAGTATAATGTTCTGTTACAAAAAAAATGGTTGCGATTAGGCCAACAGTTTTCTTTCATGATGCAAAAATGTTCAAAAAGCGTTCATATTCACCCCCGTTTACGGTAAGTGTTTTGGTTTCCAGACGGGTCCCATGTGGTAAAAAAATTTAGCATATTTGCTCGTTTGGGTTTTATCTGGTTTTTATCAGGGCCGAAGAATCTGGGGATTTTACGGGTTTCCCATAAGGTTCCCAAAAGGTTTAAACTGATAATTAAAAAAATCCTAACAAAACTTACTCGATGGGTGCCATTTATAATTCGTATTGTGCGTGAAATAAGATTAAAAATTTAACTTTTATGCATTATATTTTTTCTATACATTATATTTACATAATAATTAAAAAGAAAATTTTTTTGATGTGTTTTGTCACTGTGAAACTCTATTAAAAAGACGTTGTTTTAAAATTTCATTTATTTATTACCATAATAAAAGAATTTTTTTGTATTTTTTTTTATAAATAAATTTACAAAGTTTAACATATTTGTTGAACATATGTTCCAGAAACTATTAAACATATAGTAAATATTCCATTGAGACACTGTTTTCATTTTTAAAATGATCAAAATATAAAGTTTTGTTTCTGCTAGTGACTGTAATAAATGGTTTGAGTTTGATCAAAATATTGGTTTAGTCAGAAACATTTAAAAAGAGCATACAGGCAAATGGAATGTAATTGATAAGTTTTATTTAGGGAATTAAAAGATTTTAAATCGTTTATACAGATCCACTCTTTTCCATTGATTTTTATATCTATATTTTATGCAAGCAAAATGACTGATTTTAACGAAGTTTACCCACCGTCAGATATAATAGTCAGATATAAATAAAGATATAATTAGATGTTTAAATGCAAAAAAATGGCTTTATTGTTATGCATTAACCTCATTTTTTAATCATTGATATTTTTTGACTTTGATTTAAAATTGTACACTTGCAATATTAACAATAATTTCATAATATACATAATAATAACTTACACTAACAATACCTATACTTGTAAATACTTGTAGTATAATACTTATATTTATAATACTGATAAAAATTTTTATTGATATGAACTTATGCATTCAAACGTTAGTTATAAAACTTTAATTTAACTTGATAACTTTAACATGAATAACAATAACTAAAAAGATAATAGTTATTATATAGATTATAACCATATGCTTATTTATTATAATCGAGTTATTGTAAGTTAAACAAGATAAAATGTTAAGTTCCAGGTAATAAGTCTTTTTGATATGTATCTTATGTATATCTTGTATTTTGCAGCATGTTAAAGAATATTTCTGCATGGTGCACTCTGACCTGTTGACAATATTTGCATACTGATATGAGTAAAAGTGACTTCAACAACCAGAATTTATTTTTGATAAATATTAGTAATAACAGGTTAGTAAATATAATTATAATAATAATGGTAATAACTTTTTATTATTAGAATTAGTAAGAGACTTATGTATTATAGAACTACATTAACTTCTGGGGACAAATATAATGATTTGAGTAAATATTACCGTTGTTAATTACCTTAATTAGAGTAATGTAAGAAAATATTATTTTTATCTAAAGAATATTTGGCAAAAGTCAGTATTTCCTAAGTATTAAATATTATAAAAAAACATGTGTTTAAAAAAAATGTATCATAAATAAAAAAATAACTATTAGAGTATAAAAAAAAACACATTTATTATTATAATTTATATACATCACATTAACTATGTTGTCTATAAAGTAGAGGTTGCAGCTGTTATTTCAGCTTCAGCTATAAACTCATTAGCTTCAGATTAATGCTGAATATGATCAAGTCAGTATAATTACCTTGATAGCTGATAGGAAAAGAGAATAATATTCCATAAATATTTTATGCAAAATATATTTTTATATAGGAATTTATTCAATGAAAATCTAAAATAGTGATAAAATTTAAACATACATTTTAAAAATTTTAAATAAAATTTGCCAAAAGTTGTTGCTTTTTGTAAATGTTGCCATCAGAGCCTTGGCCTAGGATTCACAATATTAGGGTCCCAAATTGGGTTTTCAGAGATTTGTTTAAAAAGTGGTGCATAAAAATCTAATTCCATTTTTAATTTTCTTAAGGGGACTCTTTTTGAACAAAACTATCTTTTGTTCAAAAAGAGTACACTTATCAAGTATTTCATAGGTAAAAAAAAAAGAAGAAAAAACAATAAAAAACTTTATCTTCTTTAAAAAAAATATTTTTCTTCAGTGGATTTTTTATGCTAAATGAGGATGTTCCTCTAATAATGTTGCCACATCCGAACATATTAAATTGCTTATTAAATTTGACTGTTAAGACAGCATATAATGTTTTTACAGAAAGTTGCAACTTCTCACTGCTCCAATAATCATTCCTTTGTGAAAATACCCTTTCAACAGCAGCATTAGTGTCCGGACAACAAAGAAATTTCTATTAAAACTTTTAAGTTTTCATTTGGGATATGTTCTACTCTAAAATGCCGAAAGATATCTACCCATCTTTTTTCAAGTTCTATTTTCTCATTCTTCCATTTCTTCAATTTTTCTTCATTTAAATATAAATTTATTCTTCGAATTTCTTCAAAGAGAAAATTGTCATTAATAACAATATCTTATACTTCCTTTATTAGAAATTCGACTGCTGAAGGAACTTTTTTCCATTAAATTTTACTATTTATAAGGGTCCATTAGAAACAATTCAATGCTCTAAAGTTCATTATCCATTCTCGATATATTCATAGCAAATTTTAACTTCTTTTAAAAATTCATTTTTATTCCGGGATTGGAATCTTCCAAAGGGGTCAGTTTATAGGTTTTAATATAGCCTTTAATATTGTATATAGTAGTGTATGTATATATTTTTTTATTTAAATTTACCTTTAATTTGTTTTTTTATATTTTTCTGCAAAAATTGTTTTCTGTCACTCTATCTGAACTTATGTGATAAAGTTTTTTTTTTCTCTTACATATTTTCTCACTCATCTTATCTTATCCGTTCATTCTCTCTTTTTTTTATTTTTCTTAGCGTTACTCCTTTATATTTTTGTGCTAATTCCAACTTTTTAAATATTATTGTTCCTTATACTTCTTTTTTTATTACTTGTATTAATGTAGTTTACTTTCTTTATTATTATTTTTTTATTTTATTTGTTTATTTTATTAAGGTGTTGCTCCATTGACTAGTTTTTAATATTAGTGACACCGAACATGAATTTGTAAATTATAATTAAGTTTGTAATTTTTGATTTTATGGTTAATTAACAATAAGCGCATGTGTAGTATGTACAGTAAGGTTTTTTTATCCTTTTATTTAATTAAATAGATGGATAAAAAACTTTGCTGTACATACTACTCATGCGTCAATACTGTCGAGCATGCCGTACATACTGCACATCAAAGATCAGCTTGGGGATTACATACATAAATGTTAGAACCATCTCTTTTCACAAATGTAATTTTGACATTGTTAGAAAAAAAGGTCTGGAGTATCTATCTATCTCTCCAGGTACACAGTAAGGCCTCTCAATTGTGCTGAAAATAGCAGCCATATGTGTGTGCAAAATTTAAATCACTGTCAAACTTGTGTCTGGTGTTTGCCCTGTCCTCTGACATGCCGGAAACGGCAAACAATATGCATATGTGAAATTCAAATCACTATCAAAATAATTTTTAATATTTAATTATTAAAATTGAAATTAAATAATATTAAAAAAAATGTTTTAGAAATACAAATGAGTACAAATTTATACAAATGAGTACTTTCAGAGTACAGGATTTGAAAAAAGTACTGTTTGTGAAAAAAGAGTAAAAAACTCATTAAATGAGAATAGTTGGTCACCTTAATTGTCTACATAATTTTTTGGTAGATTTTAAAGTTCTTGCAAAAGATGGTTTTATCTATGAAAATATTGAAATTAAAATCAATCTTGCTGTTATCATATGTGATGGACCAGTTAGAGCATTTGTAAAGTGTATTAAAGGACACAATGGTTATAACTGATGTGAATGTTGTGTTTTGAAAGGAGAGTGGTGTGGTAAGATAATTCTTCTACATATTTCACTATTTTTAAGCACTGATTCATATTTTTTGTCATTAAAAGCATTCTGAACACTTTAGTGGTGTGTTAAATTGAATTAAATTTTGGCAAGGTGACAAAGTTTCCTTTAGTCTTTATGCATCTAGTATGCTAGGGATAATGCGAAGATTTGTCAACTTATGGTTAAATTGCCCAAATGTTGTAAATTGTCTTAGATTACAGTCAATATTTTATCTGGCGGATTGTTCCAGATTCATCATTACATTCTAAGAAATTTTTCTAGAAAATTAATGTCTTAATTAGTTATTAAGAAATGGAAAGCAACTTAACTTAGACTTTTTATAGTATACACTGGACCAGTTATTTAAAGGGAATGGTTTAGCCAAAAATCTATTCAAACTTTTTAGATTTTTCAGTTGTACTTATAATTTCATGTTTTATTTTGTTGAAAAAATATGTTAATTTTGCTTTTCAGCTACTTATTTTGTGCAGTTTTATATGTGAACTTTATCGTAAGGATCAACTTGTGTACAATGTCCATTTATTAGCACATATAGAAAATAATACAGTTAAATTTTAAGTACTTGATAGATGTCCTTCTTTCAAATCCAAAACTTTTTTAAGTTAATTAAAAAAGCTTGTTCAAAGACCAAAGAGTTGCTCAAATAAACACATACAAGAAGATAAATAGAAGTTTAGTATTCCTTAATTTGATGGTAGTAATCAGTGCATTGAGGCACTGTTTACAGTTTAAAAATTATCAAGGTTAAGAGTGTTTTGTTTCAGCTATTAAAAGTGATAATTGTTTTGAAATTACAAAAAAATACGGTTAAGGTAAAAAGGTTTTAAAAAGCAGACAAATCTTATGACAAAAAAGTTATGTTTGAGAAATTTGCAACTTTTTAGTCGTTTTATACTGCTGAGTTAGAGCATGATGATGTCATACTCACCTAACGTCAAATAGCCTGCTGCCGGGGGCTTCAGTACATACATCAATACAAAGATAGAGAGAGAGAGAAAGAGAGAGACACAAACATACTCTCTCTCACACACACATATATATATATATATATATATATATATATATATATATATATATATATATATATATATATATATATATATATATATATATATATATATATATATATATATATATATATATATATATGCGTATGTGTGTGTTTGTGCGTGTGTGTTTGTGTGTGAGAGAGAGTATGTGAGTGTCTTTCTTTCTCTCTCTCTTTATATATATATATATATATATATATATATATATATATATATATATATATATATATATATATATATATTATATATATATATATATATATATATATATATATATATATATATATATATATATATATATATATATATATATATATGTATATATATATATATATATATGTATATATATATATATATATGTATATATATAAGCAGAGCTTTTTCTAGGGCGCTCGTTTACAAATGTAAGGATTTTTTTTTTATTTAGTATTTTTATTTAGATTTTTTTTTTTATTCATTGGATAAGTTTTTAAGAATTTTGGAGCCCTTATGACAGGTTTTTTTCTTTTGAATGGGAGGGGGGCTTGTATGTAGTAGTCACGGCACTGTATATAAGATATATACAATGTATATTAAATTATATACAATATAAATAAAAAAATATATTTATTTATTAATTTTATATAATTTATTTATCAGTAACTAAAGGAATGTTATCAATTTATTATACGAATGTTATCAATTTATTATAAGCATGTGCTTATCTATTACAAGTACATTTTAAAACGTTGAAATAAACGTCGATTATAAAATTAAAGGTTATCTGTTTCTACCTTCGATGGTGAAAATTACATCTTTTATCTGAAGGGTGTTAAGAGAAATCGTAAGAGTGTTATAACATATTAAAAATAATGTATGTGTTACCTATAAAAATTAAAAACTTAAAGTTAAATTTAATTTTTTTACAGTTCATATTGAAACAAGATATTGTGTAAAAAGGTTTTCAAAGAAGTCGTTTTAACAACAATGGAAAAGCTTCCAATTCCTGAGATAACCGTGAAAGCATTCGATACATGATTAAAGAATCGTTTAAAAGTTTGCTTAATTTCGACAGTGTAATTTTAATTACTATTTTTTTGAAATAAACCAATCAATTTATATATAAATTTGCTTTTTCTGTAAATTTTAAACATTTAAACGTAGCTTTGCAAGATTTGCAATGGGTAAAACTCGTGGGATTCTCACGGGATACCCGGCGGGCATACCCATATGGGCCCCAGAAGAAAACCGCGGCCAAGATCCGGCGGGTTCCCGATGGGTTTCCCATATGGGTCCCATTTGAAAACCCATATGGGTCCCTTACGGTTTTAAAGTACGGGATTTGACTGGGACCCATACGGGATACCCGGCGGGCTAACCCATATGGGTCCCATATGGAAACCGCGGTCATGATCCGGCGGGATACCGTTGGGCTTCCCATACGACGACCCGTATGGGCCCCGTACGGTACCCGTATCTCAATGTTGGCTGGGATATTACTTACTTTGTTTATGTATAAATAACAACCCCGTCTTCCAATCAATATAAAGTACATAGATATTCTCAATAAAGATAATTGCTAGATATACTCAATGAAGATGATTGCAAGATATACTCAATGAAGATGATTGCAAGATATACTCAATAACGATGATTGCGAGATATACTCAATGAAGATGATTGCGAGATATACTCAATTATATAGAGATATACATGATTGCAATCCTGTATAGTAAATAGTATAAAAAAAAATTAGAATTTAAAAAAGACAAGAAAGATATTACTTTCTGTCATAGTCTAATGTCAGATAATTCTGATGGAGAAAAAATATGATGCATATTCAAAAACACATGTATGCGAATGTGATGGCAACTGTTTTTTTTTTCATTCAATTTCGTTTTTTTCTAAATTGTTCTGAGTGTACGTATAGTTTGGGTCTGGGTATTATATCAGTTTTTGCTATGTCCAATAACATCTGTTCAACATCATCTGTAAATACTCTGACATATAATAACATCTGTCCAAAAAAATCTGAAATTTCGTTGGTGTCTAATAAAATCTGTGTAAAAAGTATGTGATTACTGCAGATATTGTTACATCTTTACTGCAGATGTTGTTACATCTTTACTGCAGATGTTGTTACATCTTTACTGCAGATGTTGTTACATCTTTACTGTGATTACTGCAGATATTGTTACATCTTTACTGCAGATGTTGTTACATCTTTACTGCAGATGTTGTTACATTTTTTTCAATTACGTTAAGAATAAGTAGTTGAATATATGGTTTTTTTCAGATGTGCTCTCGAGTCTTTAATCCAAAGAAAGGAGATGGGAAGGAGGGGGGCGGGAATTTTAGTTTAGATCTGATAAAAAGGAAAGGAGTTAATAAAAGGTAGGGGGAGGGGGTTAAATCTTTCACGTAACAATAGTATATTTTATAAAAAATTTCAGTTTTTAAATCCAAACTAATATTTTTTACAAAACATGCATAAAACTATTTAATTCCAGCGTGGCTTGCGATCAAATGTTTTCTAACAACTGTTTTATCATAACTCTAATATGATTTTATATGCTGGTATAAGTTTTTTAATTAGGTAAGAAATAAACCAAAAGCTCGTTTTTGAAAAGTCGAGATTTACTCGGTCGACAATTTATAAAGCCTGTTTACACTGAAAATTTTTGTTTTTATCGGTGACTGAAATAATTATTTTCTAATTTTTTAGACCAATTTTCATTGAATTTCTTTTTTAATTTTAAGATATAAAGTTTTTGTTGTTACCAAATAAAAAATATTAAACGGATGGTCTTAATAAGATTAGGGTGGGTGGGAAATTTTTTTAAAAGTTAATCAACGTTCTTCGTCGTCTTTTTTTTTATTAAGGGCTCGAGAATTACATCTGGAAAAAAAAAATTAAATTTAAAAAAAAATTAAGTATAAATGCATTATTTTAACCAGATATAGTTACATATAAGATTTTTTTCACATGTATTTACATCTGGAGGAAATTCTTCCAGATGTTATTAAACTTGGAGAAAAATTACTAGATGTAGTTACATCTTTCTTAATATGTTGTCAGTGGTCATTGAATTTTCAGATGATATTGGACTGATGTTGTTGGAGTAAAAAAAAATATTGATGATCTTGGACTAACGTGTACAGATGATCTTGGACTACTCTACAGATGTTGTTGGACAACATCTGTAGAGTAATCTTTTACCTATAGTTCTATTATCTGAAACCGTGACTTAAAAATATTGATAAATTTTGAGTTCATGGTGTTACTGGAAACTTTCCAGTAACACCATGGGGGGGGGGGGGACACAAACACAATTTGTAAAAAAGCTGAATTTTTCTCGTTGAGTCTCTCTAACGTTGTGGTACATAGAAATCTACTTGTTCAAAGTTTGATTGGGTTTAAATTGCTCTATTAGATCACCTCTTGAAAAATGTTTGAAGTGCCTAATATTTGCCAGACGAATACACCGCGTCCTCTGAATGGTTTTTTTAGCAGACCTAATTTCAAGTCAATTTTTTTTTGCTGCTGTGTTTACTTGTGATATTGCTGATAGGTCCTTCACTGAAGAAAAACTGGCATAGCTCAAATATCCAGCATCTATTAAACTCAACCTTCTCACAAATCTAACAACAACGAAATTCTAAAAAAGTTTTTATTTGGAAAATAAAAGTACTAATCATTATAACGTTATCAAAACCTCTGTAAAAAAGATAATGAGCTAAAATGATTTAAAGAAGCAATTTTAAATCATTACTATGGGACGCGGCAACGGCGTGAATTTTTATCATATAATAGCGTAATTACTGCAAAATTATTGATAAAGGAAAAGTTCTGGTCGAGCCTTTGAGTAGAGTTATCACAACATACGATTAAATAAGTTGTGAGCATGTAATGCAATAATTTGGGTGTAGATAAAACAATGTTGAAGAAATTCATATTAAATTCAGATTTCTATACTAACGCCAAAATAAATTCGTCAAAGGGTGGTAACTTCCATTTTGCACCCATTTTTTGCACCCATTTTAAAATTGTGAAAAAGATCTAAAATTTATGGAAATTAACTTAATTTGTACATAAAATAACTATAAAAAAAATCAAAATTAAGTTTAAAAATTATTGTTTTTTCTATTTATTTTATTCAATTTTAATATTAAGCTGTTTAAGAAAAAATCTTTTTTTAAATAAATAACAAAAAAAAAAGTCTGGAAAAGCGGAAAAAACAGTAAATAGCTTTTAAATTATAATAGCGATCTCGTTGTTGCTTGTGAGAAACAATATGGCAAAAAAAACCACAACCATACCTCATATTCACAGGATTGCAATTTCACAAACCCTAATAAGCACAAAATAGCCATCAAAAACGGTTAATAAATTTGTTTATTTTGAAAGAAATTCAAATCTGCAACTTTTAAATTTGGGATCGTCCATAAAGTAAGCATTAGTGAAATTTAGCGTTGTGTAATTTTTGGACGATCCCTTTTAGAAAAATAACTAACTTTTAACAACGTCCATATTTCGTTCATTTTTTATCTTTTTGTGTTTATTTATTTAAAATTATTAATAAATTTCGGGTTTGTTTATTAAAAATTGGACTTGCCGCTTACTATTTTACTTAATTCAGAAGTTTATAAAGATTAAACTGTTTATTAACGAAATTATCTTATAGAGGAGAAAGTCAATTAACATGTAGAAAGTCAATCAACATGTAGAAAGTGGAAATAAAATGCACATTAGATATAACTTACAAAATATTTACAAAATTACAAAAACATTTATTTTCATTGTCATAGATCAAATTTCCTATAACTAGGCACTTCACTCGATTTCATTATTATTATTATCTCTTGTTATAAATAATACCAAAGTATGCGGATAATAAAGATGTTGTCAAAATGAGTTCATTTTTAAAATTTGGATAACTGGTTTCAAGTTATGACAGTTTATGTTGGGCTCAATAACGCCTATTTTGCGACAAGATTTGTTGAGTTTTCCTTAAGGATTTATGGCACCAAATTTTGATAAAAAAAAAAAATAATTTTTAAATGTAATCAATAAGAACGAGTTTCATTGAAGTACTTATGCTAAATTATTTTTATTGTTTTCTTTTTTACTAAAGAATCAAAGCATTCAATTCTACATATTATCGTTCTCATATTAGGGGCCGCAAGGTATTCCACTGCTCGTTTCCCATGTGAAAATATTCCCCAAGGTTCCACTGCTCTTCCCCAATATTCCCCAAGGTTCCACTGCTCGTTTGCCCATGTGAAAATTCTAAATATGTCATGTATAATGGTAGAGAAAAAAAAACTTGAAAAAACTTTACTGGAAAAAAAGTTTACTGGAATAAAGATAATACTAAAGCTGTTGACTACAACATACTGAAGCTGTTGACTACAACATACTGAAGCTGTTGACTACAACATGAAAAGATTACAGCTTCTGCTATGTTGGACCTGGAGAGTTGATCTTTTTTTAAAGTGTAATATGTAACAAGTTTTAATAATATTACTTGTAATGAAACTTTCAAAATAGATGCAGCAAGTGATGAAACTTGCAAAACAGATACCGCATGTAATGAAACCTGCATAAAGGTATCGCAAGTCATAAAATTTGAAAAGATAGTCATATCAAGTCAGGTATGCCAGGTACTAAACCATATGTTTTTAATTTACGTTTTTTCATAAATGTTTTTAGAGAAGAATAAAAATATTTGACTTTGCACAAGTTGAGTTGAGTTGTGATATCAAGTGTGAGTTGTGACTTGCAAAATATTTTGATAGGCGGCTCTGGCTTATCTTCGTGTAGCGTCTATCATTACAAATGATTATTATAGTGTTCCATTTATGAAATTGATTATTTTATTTATTTACTAAAAGCCAAGACAACTATTTAAATCTAGGGTATCTAAAATGTTTTAGTACAAAACATTATAAAATTGTTTGTTACATTTTTTTTATAGGATACAACACTGATATTTTTGGTAATGAAATAAAACATATTTAATAAAATATCAAAAAATGAAACATACTAATTTGTTTTGTTTGTTAAAGATACAATTATTTTTAAGAATTCAACGTTTTTTTATTTTAGGATGTGGGTAACTATTAC